GGTCAGAGAGATGGTTAGGTGCTGATCCGGTTAGAGCTTTAAAAAGTCAAATTTTAAAATCGATTTTGTAACAGACCGGCGGCCAGTGCAAAGGATATCATATAGGGGAGATATGATCAAATTTTCGGGTGCCAGTCAGAAGTCTTGCAGCATTTTGAGCCATTGAAAACAACTGATATTAGATTGACATAATCCAATATAAAGAGAATTGCAATAGTCAAGTGGAGATCAAATAAATAACTCTCTTGAACTCTGCAAAAGGTTAAAAAAATACTCTTAGCCTTAAAAGGCAAATAGCAATCTTAATTGAAAAAAAAACAACAACAACAACTGGATTTATTTATCCAGTTGTTTATCAAAATTGAGTGCAGAATCAAAATTATATATATATATATATATATTTATGCATATGCCCTTCCTATATCGACTTTCCCTGTCGGTTGTCTTCACAAAACCCTCCTACTTTACACCTCTTCTCCTCCTACCACCCTCTTTTGGTATGCAATGCCTACTTTTCACATTCCAAGCAATGCCCTTTGGATAAAACCAAGCCCCAGTTACCATGTTTTGCTCATTAAATATCCCACTTCACCTAAAAATATGTAACATTATGAAAGTAAAATAACATTTCATATTGACTTCCATGTAAATCACCTACACCATTAAGCTTTAAATAATAATAATAATAACAATACTTCTATTCAGTAAGGATGCATTCAATTGATCAGAAATTACATTATAATCTTACAACAGATTCAAATAGGCTAAATGCTGTTCTTTGCTGAACTTTCTATTGAACAAAAAATCCTCAGAAAAACATTTTTAAAAATCTTACTGAGCCCAAACTTTTGAACAGTAGTGCAGACAGTGAAGTAATGTTTTTTTAAAGGTATTTTTGTTGTGGTCACACAAACAGTATTCAAGTATTTTAAATATAGATTGCAGATTTAGACACTTTTTTTATACTTTTATTTTTGCAAAAAAAATAATAATAATTATTATATATATATATATATATATATATATATATATACACACTTTATGCTGCTTCTGGTTTTAACAAAAGGAGGAAATTCTTAAGTAAAAGGCCAACTGAAAGGTTATATGATGCATAGCGATTGCGCTTGAGCTGTATGCTTGTCAAAAGACATCACATCATTCTTGCCATTCACTCCCATGACTTGATAGACAAGAATAAAACTCTCAGTACCAACACCATTATCGCTAATGACAGATTATTAGAACACCAATGCAAATCCAATGCCAATTCAGAACAGAGTTGAAAACAATGACCGACATTGACCATTTCACCCAAAGTAACCTCAAGCAACTATTGCAACACTAGGGAGAAAAAGATGACTCCTACAAGGAAACGAGACATGAAGGATGGTACTTATGGGATGATATTAGACTCTAAATGATTAATAGATGCACGCACAATTATCCATGTACTGCATACATTTTATACATGTATCTTACTAACCACAAACAAATGTCTTTCAATTTGAGTCTGTGTAATTCGTACTTGCTCAATACGACGTGCAACTTAATTTGCTTCCTAACTTCATCTTCTTTTATACGTAATCACTAAATTTGGCCAAGTGAGGAAGCTTACAAGATCCACTTCACCACAGTTAGTTTCAGACCTGTTTCCTCATAGTCAGTTATTATTTCATTGAAAAACCAAATGAGGCACTCGAATCCTGTTTAGTCAGCAATCCTACAGCATTCCGTACTGCTGAGATCATGGAGGCGCTCAGAGGACGAAAGAGGAACAAATCCAGCTTTCTGAGGAGTTGTGTATGTGAATGGAAAGTATAGAACATCTCGTTCTCATTTCTTTGAATGAATCTCACAGAAATGTCACATTTCACCCCTCGATGGTGATTCTCATTAAATTATCATTACTGTAACTGTTTCGCAAATATATATATATATATATATACACACACTACCATTCAATCCAAGTTTGGATCGCAATGATAAATTGATGCTTTTATTCAGCACAAACGCATTAAATTGATCAAAAATGACATGAAAGACATTACAATGATCTCTACTTCAAATAAATGCTGTTCTTTCTGTTTCTGTTTCATAAAAGAACTGCACAAAAGACATATTTTATCACAGTTTCCACACTACATTAAGCAGCACAACCATTTTCAACTGTGATAATAATAAGAAAGGGTTCTTGAGCATCAAATCAGCATATTAGAATGATTTCTTAAAGATCATGGAACACTGAAGACTGGGGCTTTGCCAAGTGGGAAAATCTGTTTTAAAATATATATTAAAATAGTGAACCGGTAATATTTCACAGCATTTCTCATTTTTTTGAATATGTCTTTGATTTGAAATGAATGCAGACTTGGTGACCATATGAATATAAATAATATATATAATAACATTAATAACTGTTATACTGCCATGAAAATATCACCAAAAAGGGTTTTATTTCCCTTAACTAAAACATAATGTATCGTTTCTTTTTTCAGATTAGATTTCAGGGTGAAATATGACCCAGCTTTGGGAGATTCCCCTGATAACTGAACGTCTAGAAAACAATTTAACATCAGTTTCTGTCTGAGGCTTCAGTTCCTCAAATTTCATTATTTCTCTCTGTCTCTTACGTGGCTGTGGTCATGCATCCGAGTGTGAGGGATAACAGACCATTCGAGCTGAACGCTTCTATTAAAATTTAAGACTGCAGAATGGTTCTTTTTCCCTTCACACTTAATCACACTGAATCTTTCACCACCTCCCACAGAAGACATTAACAGGGAAGAGTGCTGAAAATATAACGCATGGCTGTGGAACTGACAGAGAGGGCAGCACACTAATAGGAGTAGAAAACTTTCCCTAACAAGTCTCTAATTAGATATAAGCTGGCAATGGATGCTGGACAGATGCATGATGATCAGTCAAAGGGGCTACAGTGTTAGTTGGGCAGCTGAGAAATCCTCTATACTCTCTATAATTGGGGCTAAGGCTGTAGATACCTTATTCCTCTGACTCCTGACTAACAGATTCCTTTCCATATAAACAAACATTAAGAAGAAGCAGATCTCTGTAATTGGTTCCCTGATGTCCTGCAGAGCAGCAATGCAAACAAATGTCAGAATGACCACTGTGTGGCTCGTCATAGCTGTAGGGAATCAGCAGAGGACACCGCAGTTTGTATTTGGTAGTTTGGTAGTTTGTAGTGGTGGTTGTATTTGGGTGGTTTGTACATAACGCATTTTTGCTTTAAACAAAAAATTTATTCAAAATGTAAAAATCTAGAAACAACTGAAAGCAGTACAAAAATTATATATTTTGGGTGGCTTTTTAAACATGTTGAGGTTGGATTTTATACAAAGTGTGAAAATGTGTGATGCAGATACACACTGGCTAATGAGAGGTCTGTATAAAAAGTGTTTATTGGGTCTAGGTTTTTTTTTTTGAGAATGGCACACATGGCATTGCTTGAGGATCTTGCTGTGTGTGATCTCAGGTGAGAGCTGAAAGTGTTTGCTGAGAGTGACAAAAGGAAACACTGTGTGAAAAATCCCATATATGTATACAGTTTGGCCGTGTTTTATGTAGATTACTAACTCAAGGTCGCTCATTTAAAAAAACACTCATATTCATTACTCTAGGACTAAGTTAAGAACAAATTCATACATGTACACGTGTAGTGAAATAGCCAACATTTTTGCAAGAATTTCACTTGCATATAAATACAAATAATTCTCGCAATTATTACTTGATGAGAGAGACACAGTGTTTTCCACCACAAAGCTAATAACCCCAAGGTCATTGGTTTGATTCCTAGGGAATGCAATAACTGACCCAATGTGCACCTTGTAAACAATTTCACTTTTTTTTATGCAAAATGAATCAGATCGAAATGAAGCCTATTTACTTTCTAAATGCATCCTGGTCTTACTGCATGTTATTCATTAGTGCAAGTTATTCCAAAATAAATAAATGAATAAATAAAAAATAAATGTCTTTATTATCTTTCTACAAAATAAATAACTTGCTCAACTTGTAAACCAACTTTCGTTTTTGGCTGACATCATCTAGGCCATGCAGGCAATTGGCTAATATTAACCAATAGTCAAACTGTTTTTAAAACTGGCTTGGAATAAGCCAATAATTTTCCAATGGATAAATTCAACTCCTACGTTTTTTTTTCTCAATGAATATCACATTTTACCCCGAAATGCATTTTATTATGCAAAAGTAAAATGCGCTGAAAATCAGTCTTGAAGGAAAACAAGCTGTACATAGGGCTTACAAGAGTGCATAAGTCAACAGCCAGTTGTAAGGTGTTAGTAATAACTGCAAGGATATTATCATTAAAGGTCTTTAAAAGCATGGTGTGAAGCCAGTAATTTCCCAATGGATAAATTCAAGTCCTACATTTTTTCCTCACTGAATATCACAGTTCACGCTGAATTGCATCTTATTATGTAAGTAAAATGGGCTTAAAATGTGATTTCATGTTGACTTTCGGTGACAATTAGTCTTGAAGGAAAACAAGCTGTACTGTATTTACAAGAGTCAACAGCCAGTTGTAAAATCTTTGTAATAGATTACAAAAGGGTATTATCATTAGGATTCTTTTGTGAGATCAGTACAACATAGCTTATAAAGTGACGTGATGTGGCCAAGTATGGTGACCCATACTTGGAATTAGTGCTCTTATTGGATGGGCATTTAACCCATCCAAAGTGCACACACACAGCAGTGAACACACACACCGTGAACACACACCCGGAGCAGTGGGCAGCCATTTTTGCTGCGGCGCCCGGGGAGCAGTTGTGGGTTCGGTGCCTTGCTCAAGGGCACCTCAGTCGTGGTATTGAAGGTGGGAGAGAGCGCTGTACATTCACTCCCCCCACCTACAATCCCTGCCGGTACGAGACTCGAACACGCAACCTTTGGGTTACTAGTCCGACTCTCTAACCATTAGGACACGACTTCCCATTCCTTCCTTATTTAAATTCACCTACCTGTTCAGGATGCTTGCTGCCTGTGATTTCAGCCACATTGTTGTAGGAGTCAACATCTGGCAGTGTTTGGGCCCCCATAGTCAGACGCATCACAATCCTCTGGCCTCTGCGGGCCATCCTGGCCATCATCTGGGCATCCTCGACAGTGATGCAGGCAGTGGGGATCTGAGGCACTCCAGGCTGGTACCACTGCCAGCCAGTGTGGGGGCTGAAAACAACACCATGAGTGGGTTAAAACTCAGAAATGTGCTTTTTATATAATACATATTGTTACAATATACATTACCGGTCAAAAGTTCAGAATAATTAAAAGGTTTTTTTTAATGCAATTTAAGCCTTCGATGGCAAATCTGAATTTTCAGCAAGTATCATCAATTATTAATGGTGCTAAATTTTTTATAATGGTTCTTATTATTATCAATGTTGAAAACAGTTTTTTCTGCTTAATATTTTAGTGGAAACCATGTTACATTTCTTTTGTCAGAATTCTTTGATGAATAGAAAGTTTAAAAGAATAGCATGTATTTGAAATATGAATGTTTTTAATTTATTTGTAACATCATAAATTTTTTTACTGTCACTTTGGATCAATTTAATGCATCCTACTAGATAAAAGTATTAATTAATTCAGTAACACTTCATTTTAGGGTCTCTTAACTAGTTGCTTATTAGCATGCATATTACTAGAATATTAGCCATTTATTAGTACTAATTAAGCACATATTAATGCCTTATTCTACATTACCTTATTCTACATCCCTAATCCTACCCAATACCTAAACTTAACAACTACCTTACTAACTATTAAT